CCCCAAAACCCCAAAACCCCAAAACCCCAAAACCCCTTATTAGCATGGAAATATTGAGACCGTAAGAATATTATTTAATAGTACCCAACATGATTACAAGGTTTGGACTAAGGAACTTCAGCTCAGCCACAAGCAAGAAGGTCGGATTCATGGGCCTCGGGAATATGGGATTCTCTATGATGAGAAATTGTATGAGCCATGGCTATGAAATCACTGCTTATGATGTCGATGATAAGATATTAGAAAAAGCAGAAGAATTAGGTGCTAAAATTGCTCCTGATGTGAAAGCAGCAGCTACAGATCAAGATTTTTGTCTCACTATGTTGCCTAATACAGATATCGTCGAACAAACTAGAATGGGAAGCAATGGTATCTTTGAAAATGCCAGAGAAGGTGCTTATATCATTGATTCCAGTACTATCTCTCCTTCAGCATCAAGAAAAATGGCAGAAGAAGGAGCTAAACTAGGATTTAAAGTAGCAGATGCTCCTGTCTCAGGAGGAGTCACTGGAGCAGAAGCCGGAACTCTTACTTTCATGGTTGGATGTAAGAAAGATCACTTTGATGGAGTTAAAGATTTCCTCATGTCAATGGGATCTAATGTTTTCCACTGTGGAGCCCCAGGCACAGGACAAACTTCAAAGATCTGCAATAATTTAATGCTTGCTATTCAAATGATGGCTGTCTCTGAAGGACTTGCTCTCGGAGAAAAGCTTGGAATTGACCCAGCTGTTCTATCCAAGATTTGCAGCACCTCAACTTCAAGTTGTTGGACTTTAAATACTTACAACCCCAGACCAGGAATCCTTGAAGGAGTTCCTTCATCAAATAATTATGATGGTGGCTTTGGGGTATCTCTAATCAAAAAGGATCTTAGTATTGTTCTTGATTCTGCTGCTGAAGTTAACCTCGATCTTCAATTTGGAACAAAGGCAATTGAATTCTACCATGAGCTTGAAAGGTAACCATTAATCTTAACTCTCTAGACAAGGTAAAGGCAACAAGGACTTTGGTATTGTCTACCAATACATTAATTCTTTGGAGAAGAAGTAGAATCTGTGAATATATCATTCTTTATTCAATAAGATTCATTAATAATGGGGTTTTGGGGTTTTGGGGTTTTGGGGTTTTGGGGTTTTGGGG